GCCAGGGGGCAGCAGGGGGCACCGCCGGCCGCGCGGGGAGGCAGAGGGCGCAGCGCGCAGGGCTGGAGTTTGGGGCGAGGGGCTGCAAGCCGGGCTCCGGGAAGGACGCGGCGCGCGCCTCGGGCCGCCAAGCTGGGACCCAGCAGGAGCGGTGCCTCACTCCGGCGCTCTGCTGCGGGCCTCAGCCTGCTCCTTTCTGCCTTCCAGAGAAGCTCTGTGGCCTGGAGGGGTCTTCAGCCAGGGGCTGCCCCCATCCCTTTCCGGCCCCTGACCCCAAAGGCCCTGAGACTCGGTCTTCTTTGGCCAGGCCTAAGCCAGCGTCCGCTCCGCCCTCTCCCGTAGCATTTTGGGCCTTTCCAGTCCCGCGGGCCAACATTCCCATTTCATAGTTGAGGGAGCTGGGGCTCAAGGCCGCAGAGTGAGCCAGGAAGGCCCCGGGAGCGCAGCACAGCCTCTTGCCTTCTCTGCACCTCAGTTTCCTCTTTTGGAAGATGGCGATGCTGTTGTGAATGAGAAACTGCAAACACTTGAGGGAGGCAGGGCCTGGTCATAACAACAACAATAGTAAATGACCCGAGGCGGCGGTGGGGGTGGGGTGCTCGGGAACCAGGACGCAGGTTGATCAGTAACCAGGAGTGGGTAGACGCTGCTGAACGGTCCAGAAATAGAATGTCTGGAGCTAACTTGTTCCAGCTCAGAGTTCATGGAGAAGCCATTGCTCCTTGTGGCAACAGGAGGCTGTGCTCAGTGTCTTGTTTTGTTTGTGTCTGATTTAGGAGAAACCCAGGGAGCCATGAGCTGGCACCACCCACCCACCCAGGTCGTGGTGCTCTGTTGGCAGTGCTGGAGTGCCAGCCCCTACCCATCCAGCTGTTTGCAGAGGGCGTGTGGCATCTTATTCGCCTGGGGAGGGGCTCTCAAAGGTCATCTCCTCTGAGCCTTCCCCTGATGACCCAGGATTCCAGCAGAACCTCATGCCCTCTACAGAATAATGCCAGCTCATCCATACCCAGGGTCCCTACGTGCCCAGAAGTGTTTATTGCATGCCAGGCACTGTTCTAAGTGGTGCTGCCTTCCTCACGTCAATCTTGACGAGTAGGAACTACTACTCTCTCCGATTTACAGATGAAGAAACTGAGGCAAAGGGAATTGACTGGCCCAGAGTCCCAC